TTCACTTAGGTAGCGCGGAAAGCCGTAAAAATCTTGAACAAAAGCTCATCTTTCAAACCGGCAGTCTAAATCCCACAGGGATCAACGAACGCTTTTCATTCCACTAATTTATTCTTGTTTTTCTCGTTGCCATGTTCCCACCAATAACGTAGCTCCATTTTCTGCCTTTAAAAGCACACACAACCCACAATTCCTCTATTCGCTCCGACGAAGGGCTAACGCTCGAAACGTCAGCTTTTGTAATTGTTACGGTGGCCAATTTACCATTTCAACTTTGTTGATATAACCAAATTACAAACAATATAGGACCGTTAAAAAATAAAGCAACGTCTACTTTGATATATGAGACTTATTACCTGAAAGGTAGGAGGCAATCACCCAGAGAGTAAATATTAAATATCCTCTTCTCATCGTTGGTGAAGGCTAATACAAGAGAATGAAAGAATCGCGTAAAAAACTCATAATTGAAAGTCTCGTCTCGTCTCCTTTATTTGTTTGAGCAGGTTGAATTATGGAAGCTATTTGCTGATGTGGACCTGCTATCTTCCCACCCATCCCACCCCAGGGGAGGACATCCACCACACAGTAATCTCGTGTGTTGGAAATTAACATCCTATCCCAACCCTGCAGGAGACGGTACCTCCGTTTACTCGTCCTTATCCGAGTAGACTAGAATATCTAACCATTTCTCGATGTTATAGAAAGGTAGCAAATTCTTCTCAATTATTTTAAGACCTTGAGTGTTGGTCCGGCCGGGGCTCGAACCCTCGACCTCCCGCACAACAGTCCAGCGCACTATCCATTGGGCTAACTGGCCGGCGGTCAGTTAGCCCAATGGCTATCAGTATCCTACAGTGTCTAGTTCATAATGGTTATTGAAACGAATGGTGTACGCCTTTTTCTGAAATAACACCCGTCATTTCAGAATCGAACGGGCGAGCAGCAAATATTTTCTCCTTTTTACTAGAACCAGCTCAGAGTATAAACAGATTAGCGGGTGGTTTCATTTTATGAATAAAGTTTTTCTTCGCATAAGGTCTATAAAATGCAGGGTTCCAATAAGGACAATTGCTTTGTTGATCTATTGGACCAGAAACTTGCATATAAACAAGAGGTACTCGCTAATGCTGGTAATTTATCCACCTAAACAACTATGAAAAACACAAACCTTTCTTGAAAAAACAAATTTAATTATGAACGCCTCGTTGTTCTAACCGTAAACAGAATAATTTACGAGTGAATTTTTTTTGAGGGCCTATTTCCACTAACACATAACGGTAGGGTTTATTACTGCGAGGATCGCTTTCATGAAACCGCAGTACATGTGTATCATTTTCCTATTTTCAAATCTTCTGGAATAACGAATGATGTTTTGAATTTTCAATTCTGAACTTCACGGTTCTCCCGCCTTGACTTAACAATAAGAGATGGTGTTCTCTTTTAGTACAAACTCACAATATATAAAATTATGATTGCGTTAAGCTATTCACTCATATCCTCTTCTTCAAATTTCAATTACTTTACGTTAAGCTCGGAATAAAACCCGTTAGCTAACTGACTGGCTTTCAAGTGTGGTCATGTATCGCGTTGATGGAGCACCAAATTGTCTCAACAAAATTTCCAAGAAATTAATTGTACGTTAATGGAAGAACTAAATTTTAGATCTTGAAAGCTACAGCGCTTGAACCAGTGAATCAAGCAGCAAAACTTTATGATGAAATAAATCACGGTGGATGGCTCGTCTAACTAAGAACTCAGATTTTATTTTGAGTAATTTCTCCTTCAATTTGTTCAGCTCTGGTGAAACTCCATTCTCTTTCACTATTTTTCTTATTTTTTCAATTTGACGATTTGTTCCGTTAACTTCATGACCTCATCCATGGAGCATATTACGGGGTAAAGCTTGTTAACTATCTTTTACCAAAATCGAAGCTTAATCCCTTGTTTATAAATTCAGTCACGAATTTATATAATGGTTTTTAGCATCGACACAGTTGTTTTGCCATCATGGTCTTATATGTCACAAATGAAGCAATGAGTCTAAATGCGGATGAGGAGCTTTGAAAACTTTTTTTTGCAAAACAGTGGTTCCTGTCTTACCTCCCACTGAAGACAGAGTAGCTTCGTGAATGGATGACCGACTTATTCAGACTAACAACTCATAAGAGCTGAAAGCTTTGTTCGAAAACCAGCTCTTTCGATGTCTTCAATGTTTAAGGGAACTTGTGTCCAATTGCGATTGGTCAAAAAATTCAAAATAATTTCAAAGTTTGGAAGTGGCTGTCAAAACAAATGGAGTAAAATTCAACAACAAAGCAGTTTAGAAATAACAACGACAATTCAAGATTAAACTGGAGAGTGGAGATAGTTTTTATTTTTTTCGGGAAGGTTAAGAAGCGTCTCCAAGGAACCTGCGTGCGCATACTTTTTCGGAATTGGCAGGAAAAAAAAATAGGTGGAGTTAATTAAGATGCGATTTGAAACAAATGATTCTTTCACAATAAATTCGATGAAACTGTTATTTTGTTTACTATCGCTATGGCAAACAGTTTTTTTCTTTGTGGCAAATTTTTCTTGGTTTTTATTTCCATAAGGTAAACTCTGAAAAACCAAAAGATTTTGACTAGTCTTGTTATGAATTCTCCAGTTTAATGTAGGCATTTCAGTCACTAAATTTCTTTTAATCACCTGATTCTGTAACCAAACCGATATCAAGCAATCGTGATCCACCTAAAACACCTTGTTTGTAGTGTTAAAGAAGACTAAATTTCAAGCTGGTGCTATGGCCTGCCAAAGTCACGTTGAAACCTGTTCAACATGTACTTAAAAGTTAAAAGCTCCTCAAAAGAACTGAAAATAATATGTACATATTGGTTGGGTAGGAATGCCGGACGGGAAAATAGATCTTTCTTATTCATTTCGGAAAGGAGACAAAATATGGCCGTCTGCAGGGTTTCAGGGAATAAGGTGAACGCACGCACACGGCACGTTATAACACGCTCGCTCGCTAATTGCATGACACGCTTGCGTACATGCATAAAAACAATTGATTTTGGAAAGCGTGTTCGTAGCTATTGTTCATACTGGCTAACACGGTAGAGCTTTGTTTCGATAACATGCTAGATTTTTTGTTTTGATCACGCTACGTTCCTTTGTTCCTTGACACGCTAGCTTATCTTGTACAACCCAGCTTACTTTGCTACTTGTGTTTGTCAGCTTCTTAATTGTGAGAATTGTGTTTGTAAAGTATATTACTTACAGAATATAAGCGAAAATGAAGATCTTCTGTCCTATCCGAAAGTTGTAATAAAAAGGAAACGTTCACGGAAAATCACGGCTCTTTCCCTCAGGATTTTCACAAGGTATTCAGTTAGCACGATGTGTTTCACAAGGTCCAGAGGAGCTCAGTTTAAACGCATGAATTACTTTTTTAAAACTTAATGCTTACCTTGTAAAATATAACTCCCTATCGCTTCACACAATTAATAAGCCCAGAACCGAATCTTTGTGAATCCTTTAGCGACAGATTGAGATGATAAATCAGATACAATTTTTTTTTTCAGGTCTGATTTTCGCTATTGCATAAATAGCGCTCTCTACTGCGAGGATCGTGCATCATACGTAATAATTTTTTAATTTTCTAGATTTTTCTTCCTTTTTTCCCTTCCCCACCTCCCGTTTTTTTTTTTTTCCTAATTTAGTGATTGCCGCTCTTTTAAAACTTGCTCTTATTTCGATTTTTATCAAACGAATTGGCAAGAAGACCTTAACAAAATTCTCCAATGCAAAGTCTTTGGGGTTTTTTTAGGAAATATGGCAATGAAACAGGTAGAAATGGGAGAGGAAAAAGTTCTTTAACGCGTTTTTCAAGGGAATGAAATGATTCGAATGTATGAATTGGTTTCATTATGAGTTTTTTTTTTTGGTTTTTGTTTGTTTTTTTGGCATGAGTAATGATATTGAATAATAATGGCGAATAATACCAGTTTAGATACTGAATTTCGAAGCCAGCTCATGTAAAATGACTATTTTCACCAAGATTGATATTTTAAGCAATGACAAAGAGTTTTATTTCTTAAATTTGTTCAATCTCTGACCACTCTAGTTATCATGCATTTTTGCACTAAAATATCAACTATAACCGCATTTATTATCACCCTAAAAGTTTTATCTATGAGTACTGGATGCCCGTTTTATGTGAATAAAAAAACAACTTTTAAATACAATGCAAGAATTGTCAAGGGCGTTCTCTACAGTTTGTTATGAGAAATCCACCACTTACTCACTCAGAAAGATTTTTTCTTTTAATGAATGAGCGCTTCCTTCCCCTCGGTGGGTCGAAGAAAGGCCAATCTGAATCCAAGATTCCTGTCCTCTCCAAAAAGTGGAGCAGTAGCTTTCAGCTTGAAACGTGGTTCCAATCCCTGCAGAATTTCTTTGGCTTTTCTTTGCTCTTCTGGGCTGACATGGAAAAGCCTCATCTGGCGATCAGTAAGAGGCTCCAGTGGGTTTCGTGGGACTTTGAGAATCTGTTGTCTGGTCTTTCCCTTCAGGAGCTTCCATACCTCCCGATAGACAGGTTCCAAGGGAGCTTGGTATAAAATACAGGTCTTTCCTTCGGGACTTTCTACGTTTGGCAGATTCCTGTTGTCAATAAAATCTCTAGGGCTATATTCTGTTCCTTTCATGGGGTCTGTCAAGTTGACGAAAAAGATGGTCAAGTAATCTGGGCCTCTGTTTTGCCAGTCGGACCAGATCCTATCGATATAGCCATGATGAAGGAAAAATTCAGGAGCTTCAGCAGCGGTACGTGAACACATGTCACCGCCTATCTGGCAGTGAATTTTATCATGGAGATTCACTCGAAGGCCAACCTCGAAGCTATTGAAACCATCCATGCTAGCAGGCTGGTCCATAACCAAGAAGACATCCATCGCATTTGGAGTGAAACCTGTGTAAACGAGAGTTGATGACTATACTCTACTAGTTTTCAATGACTTGAGCCATATTGTCATTTTCATGATAATATAATATTGTAAACTAAGAAATTAAAAATAGTTGCTTCGGAAGCAGTACTTCACTTAAGTAGTGAATCTTAAGCATTATCCAAAGCCGAGAACAATTGATAAACTAATATTGAAAACAGCTAACCATTGAAGAGTCTTCGGAGACACTGCCCGTTTGTCTTATTCCAAAGATCTTCACGGAAGACTCCATCTTGAATACAAAGAGATGGTGGAACGCCATCGCCTCCAAGTCCAGATGGTCCGTCAAACCAAACTCTACCTTTGTCAGAGTTCCATGGATCACCTGAGACGAGGCTCCAATCCCAATAAGAGATGGTTACGCGGCAGTCAACTCGACGCAATAGGTTTTCATATTGAAGAGTGAACCTGAGCAAGAAATATCAAACAAGGCACATGGTGTCAAACATAAGGCAGGTAAATGGAGAGGGTCGTACGTCATTTAATGGAAGAAATTAGAACGGTTAGAGATTTTTGCGTGTCCTTGATATACGCACTCTTTTGACTTACGTGTTATTCGAAGATAAAGCGAATGAACATAGAGGAAGGCCTGTTGACTAGGCTTTGGGATGTGCATATGTCAATTCCATTAGGATTATTCAATTCCACTAGAATTGTTTACAGCCAGTCTCCGGAGTATTTTTCGAGACCTATTTCATCTAGGTCCAATCATCTGAGTAAAACAAAATCCCGTGGATGTGGTAATGGCAGACAGCTTGGGAATACTTTTTGTGGGTGAAAAAAACTTCAGATGACAAGGAAATAATCTTTCTTGAGGGAGAACTCGTTGGGTGAGTTATTGAAAATGTAAACACCCGTATCCGTCACAGGCCTAAATCTGCTGAAATTGACATTTGTTGATACCTATTTGCACTAATGGTTGGAGAGAACACATTGAGAGTAGATCAACATGTTCAAGAACCTTGACTCCGTCCATAGTTTAAGCCTAGACTGCATTTTAAACAAGTCACCCTCGCCGCTTATGCCCTCCTAGTCACTTACCAACGGTGCCAGGGAAGAAACTGTTCCTGATTATGAATTCCTTCGTTGAAGAGTTTTTCGTGCGTAGTAATAAGTGCCTTATAATCCTTTCGATATGTAGGATCGGTTGAAGCTACTCTTACGGCTTCAACGTACAATGTTCGCTCGTCTTCAGTCATGGATGTAAATTCTCTTCGCAGTCGGCAACACTGCAGTTGACCATTCTTGCAGTAACATGTATCACCGCACTCGTTTAAAACTTTGGCTCCTTCTTTAGAGCAGGACTGAGAGCTACTTAGACCCACAGCCCAAACTACAATACAAGAGAAATATAAATAAATGATGGACTTAACCTTACACGAATCTGGCTCAGTACTAATTGGCTTACACCGACAAGTCGGTGTAAGCCAATTAGGATGGGGCTGCATGCTACAAACGAATCATCAGAAATATTACATCAATGCAAAACTTTCTTTGAACAAATGCCATTGAGAAAGAATGAGTTGTTTACCTGATAAAGCCACAGCAAGCAACAGCTTCATCAACATGGTTTGCAAAAAGGAAGCTAAATAAAGAAAAATAATTTTTTAAAGCTCCAATGTATATTATAGAGAACCTCCGCCATGCAGTACCACAATTTGTTTAGGAACTATGACTGACTGACTGGCTGATCGACTGACTGACTGATTGCCTTATTGACTGAACAAATGAGAAAAATGTATGCTTAAAGACGGATTATAATTGGTTCTCTGGTACTTCCGAGAGAAATTTTTGGCTCAATATTCGACCTAGGGCGAAAGAAAGAAGAGAAAATATCTCCAGCATGAAACAACCGAGCAACATGATCGGTTTGGGAGTCACCGGGTTAATGTGAAGTGCGCCTGATCTTTTGTCTTTGATTGGCTTTGTCTGGTAGGGATTTGTAGAATAGGAACAATTTTTGGGGGATAAAGAGATGACAGACATCAAAATTAGCATTTCGTGAGAAGCAAACTAGAGAGCTATTGAATTTTAAACAACGCAATTTGTCTTAGGCATTTGCAATGGAAGACGAGGAGATGGAAAAATGTCCATCTCTAAAATTAACAGCTTTAACAGTATTGAAGCGGCCTTAATTTCAGCCAGTTGCGCACTTCTTGACTACCTGCTCAGAATTGTATTCTTCGCCCTTCTGTATTCATTCATCTCATGGATCCCCAAAAAAGGATCCTTTCAAAAGCTTACTTAACATGTGCTTCTCGTATTTCTTTGTTACCTTATAAGCTAAGAGGAGTGTTTACGCCTTTGAAGCTGTACGTAGAAGTTAGGACTAATGCTGCCTTAAAGGCTGAAAATTTCTAAAGAAACTGTGGTGCTGCGTTGGTGGGGGTAACAAGGTAATTTGGTTATATCAACTAAGTTGAAATTGTAAATTGGCCACCGTAACGAGTTAAAAATTAAGCTGATGTTTCGAGCGAGCGTTAACCCTTGGTCAGAGCGAATGATTCACTCTGACCAAGGGCTAACGCTCGAAACGTCAGCTTTTTTACTCGTTACGGTGGCCAATTTACAATTTCAACTTAGCTGATATAACCAAATTAAAATGCTGCATTACCTGATCATTATGCGCCAGAGAGTTTATTTTAACCTAATGGACAATGCAGAGTGCTATTGATATACCGCGGGACGATGTTCTTAACTCATTTGAATCGCATCATCGACCAAATGGAACGTTGTAAATTACTTTTTTCATCAACAGGGTGAGCTTTTGTACAGTTGTCAGAATCTGTTGATTTGTAGCAGCAATAAGTTAAGGTGGGGCATTGAAAGTTTTTTTAAACTTTTACTTCCATTATCACTCCAAGCTTAGATCGCGTACAGATGGTTGCATAACTCTTGAAACTTGATACATTATTACCAAAGTACAAATCATTTTATCAGTCCTTTAATTTGTGGGTATTTCGTCCGAACTGAGTGTCCAGAGTAGAAAGGTTTCCTGAAGTTTCTTGATTCATGCTCTCTGTTTTTCTGTTATGCATGTTTACGTTGGGATTCAGTTCAAACATAATAAAACCTTTACTCTTTTTTGTATTCAATCACTTAACAGACGGGAGTAGGAAATTTTACGTTGTGGTGTCGTTATCTTCGCGAGTTGAAGTCTCAGCCAATAGTTTGCTCAGCTAAGTAGTCTAAGTAGTTGCTAAAGTGCCTCTTCTTTTGTTTTATGGCCTGGTCTTTGTGCGCCAGAAAGTATTTCTGACTTTATTAACCTTGTAGAACAACTTCAAGAAACTTCCATCTTAAGATAACTGAGTCATGTTATTAGTCAAGTGAAGCATAGAAAGATGAGGGCTTTTACACAGTTGCCAGAAAGCGTTGATTTGTGATATCAACAACTAAGGGGTGAGGTGCTCAAAGTTCGTTAAAAATTCAGTTTCCGTGTTTTAATATGTTACTCATCTAATATAAGTCAAAGTGGAGTAAGAATACTTTTAACTGCAGTGCTCATGAAGAGAAATGCGTGTCTAACGTTTTATCTCAAATCTGTGGAATTCAAAATTTTAGGTTACCGAGCACCTTCAGGGGTGTGTCGCGTGCAAGCGATGTAGCGCGTCCGGTTTAAACTGTAGATATCTAAACCCCATATCAAATTAAAGCTTATAGGACTGGCTATCAGACTATACCAAAATTTTTAAAAAAAAAAAATGTCGAATTTTTCACGACTTCTAAATGCGAGCGCCTGAATCACCTTTTAAGAGCTACAAGTCAAAGGGAATTTGTCCGATTGCGAATTTTTTAATTCTAAATAATCGTTTTTCAAGAGCGATTTTTGTACGATCACTCCCCATTTTTTTAATCCTATTTCAAAAATGTTCTGTAACTTTTCACTGAAATTGAATATGGCAAATCGCAGACAGGTTTTTTTAGCGCTTTGGCCCCGGAAACGGAGGAACACATTAAATAAGCGACAAACAAAATTCCCTTTAACATGTAACATTCAAAAGGTGAATCGGGCGCTCGCATTTAGAAGTCGTGAAAAATTCGGCAATTAATTTTTTTCAAAATTTTTGGTATAGTTTGATAGCCAGTCCTATAAGCTTTAATTTGATATAGGAGTTTAGATATCTACAGTTTAAACCGCACGCGCTACATCGCTTGTACGCGAGACACCCCTGAAGGTGCATGATAACCTTAACTCCCTCGGCGACATTGTGGTTTAAATCGACGCCAAGCAATTAATCATTTCCTAACTACACCCCCTATGGTATGTTCATTTCACCTCTTCTGAAACATAAAAAAAAAAATCATTGAAATAAGAGAACGATGATACTCAAGGCGTAAATCCTACAAAAATCTTTGCTCAGATCAAAGCGCCGCTATTAAAATAACATATATCTGAATGCTATCTGATCAAGTCAAGTCTGTTATTCAGTGATGGAAAAATTCGTACACTGAGGCATAAAAAACGAAAGATACAAAGACTTTACTTTCAATGGTTCCTCTTCATCTTGCGGTCAAATGCATAACCTATATTTCCTGTGATACGACAACTGCAACTGTCATCGTCTTTTATCCCATCTAAGTGTCATTTGCATGACGTTAAGTTATTCTAGAGCCTTCTTCACCCGCCTTAGAAGACTATTTCGCTATCTATCCGTCAGACTTTAAACGAAAACGCATTTTAAAAGTTGGAGTTCAACTTATTCTCAGGATCCCGGCACGTACAGCAGTAGGGCAAAAGGCAGAAGCACAGAATTTTTTTCCACTCTGGTTTTTTTTTTTTTTTTTTCAATTCAATGCAAAAATAGCCAAATTTTTTATGTGTTTAATTTCTTTCTTTGTTAATGTTTACTGTATTTCTGTTTAACTTTTCTCCGAAAGCATTGATTGGATTCTGACTCAGTTCCTTAAAAGGAGTCCGCTTTCTATTCTAAATGCTCCTTGTATCCAGGCATTTTAAAAACAGGAGCAAACATTTTTATCCGGCTTTACATTGTTGCTCATCGTGTTCGTTATTTTTGTTTCAGAAGAGGTGAAATGAACATACCATAGGGGGTGTAGTGAGGAAATGATTAATTGCTGGCGTCCATATAAACCACAATGTCGCCGAGTGAGTTAGATTTTGAACTCCACAGTTTTGAGATAAAAACGAAGAACGAAGAAAAAAAAGGTACGCGACCAGGAAATTTCTTCAATTATTGAAGAAAATGGAAACAGCAACACGACAACGCGCCACTTCGCATACTTCTGTCACTCACTCTCCGAAAAATAGATGACATCATGATTCAAGCACTCGGTATGCATTAACATGTACAAAGAGTAGATAATTGTTAGGACGTAAAAGCCTCCGCTTTCTATTCTAAATGCTCCTTGTATTCAGGCATTTTAAAAACAGGAGCAAACATTTTCATCCGGCTTTACATTGTGGGTCATACTGGACGAAGTTCTACTTAATTTAGTTTTATTACGTTTTGTAGCAATTAATAATGGTAATTGAACTGAGTGGAGTGCAATTTAGGTTGAAATCATACGCGTGATTTCAAAATCGAACGAGCGTGCAGCGCGAGTTTGATTTGAAATCACGAGTATGATTTCAGACCAAAATTGCACGACGCGAGCTTCAATTACCACTTTATTACATCCATTTTGAAATCGCCCAAATACAGGACTTGGACAATTCAAATGTTTTATTACACGACTCGAGCAGTCAGAGGGCCAATAACTAAAATCAACCAATCAAAATGCTCTATTGCCGGTCCAATATTCTCTAAGTATTGGACCGGGCACTGTTCCGAATGGTCCCGAATGATACCGCACTTGTGTCACTTTGAACTTTAGCCGTATAATAAATCTCTTATTAACCAAGCTTGCTCGGGACCGTACTGGAAGAATATCGGCCCTCGGTCTTTTTTGTACGGACCTCGCTGCGCTCGGTCCGTACTGTCAAGACCTCGGGCCGATATTCTCCCAGTACGGCCCTCGCACTTGGTTAATAAGATATATGTATGCATTGGATGTTAAAAACCTTAGGCACTGCACCTAATATCATACTTCTTGGTGATTAAATCAAACATTTCACCGAGTTGTTTCATCATATTTTCGCAATTCTAAGAGAATTTGACAAAGCATTGTCAAGAGTGTTCAAACTCCAGATTGGGGGAGATGCATGTGTCAGCAGATATG